TCAGTTCCTTTATTTATATACTATCAACTAATAACAGTCTTTTAAAAAGCTTGTTATTTTGAAACAGAGTAGCGAACATCCTTAAGCTCCGACGGCATCAGTTGGTGATTTGATGGTCGAAAATTAAGTTTACTTGCGACACGACGCGTTAGCGGAGACAGTAAACGGGTATTTGCGACCATCAAATCAACAATTGATGCCGTCTGAGCTTAAAATACATTTTTGTTATCAATATTCTAATGAAACTGACAGAAAACAATGTCAAATCATACATTTAAAATCTGTCATACGTCGTATGCGCTTGCGCGTACGTTTTCATAGCATCAATTGTGAATTGGTGCCATGAAAATTGGTGACGTTATCCAATCAAATTGAACGTTGCAAACGATGTTGCATTAGAATACACCACTGACCCCGGTAAGGGGAGATTTGAGTGTTCTCAACCAAGATTTAGTAAACTAGTGGCTGTCGTTGGTTGCTGTCTGTCATCATTGTTTTTCGTTTTTTTAAATATAAATCAGACCGTTGTTTTTCCGTTTTTCCATGTTTGTCATCCGGGGGTCTTTTATGGCTTTAAATGCGCAATTATGTTTGCTCATTGATGAGTACCGTAAACCTGTAATTACTGTCAACCTTGCGCTTTGGTGTTTTGTGGATACATTTGTAGTTGTCGTATTAACAACGTTATAAATATCGTATTAATCAAACTATATCTACTTCGTTTTATAGTTCAAAAATTGTAGTGTCATAATTATGATACACAAAACATTTTGAAATGAACTGCCTTTGCCGTTTTAAACTTGCAGTGAGGTGAAAGTTTGTTTTTTTTTGGCTCCGTGTTGAGGGACTCAATGTGACTTTGAGGTAAAGAACAGCAATAAAAGCACTGTTCCTTGGCTTTTTGTGTGTTTCTGCTGTGCATGCACTATTTTTGGGTTATGGATGAATAACCCATATCCTTTGTTTTTCTATTTGAATCTATATGGTGTATATTTTTCCTATAAAGCTCGAATGTGTTTCCACTTTATTGACTGGCTGGCCAAATATATAACGTTTACTATAAATAATGATTATTTTTGATCTTACACGCTTATCAATAGGAAATTCAGATACAGTTTTGGTTAATTTTGTATGTATTTTTCCTTTCGCTTATTCATTTATTTTAATCAATCACGTCTAGTTGTATCATGTCAATTATATTATTATTGAAGATCTCCTTCCCTATGCCAGAACTTAATTTTGTAATTGATATTTCATTTAGTATAAGCCAGTTACGTCATATATATTCAGAGCTCATTCGTGCCTGTATTTAAGCTCTTGCAAAAAAATAAAGTTAACCTTCCTCTCTCGGAAAAGTAATGTTTTGTTCTCGTTCAGTTATGTTCCCTTGTGAAACAACGAGATTTCTTAATATATTTGAATATCTGTTACCTTTAAATGATCGTTTCCTAAATGTGCAGATGTTTTTGTTTTAGAGGAAACATACATAGATAGAGAATCAAGCTAACGTAGCGACAAAGCTTAATGACGATTAAAAGAATCTTCTTGGTATAAGAAGAGGTTGTTAAGTTTTTATAATTGAAAAACTTACAATACATATATTTGTCTTGACATAGACAATACCAATCTACTGTTGGCTGAATATATCCTTGCTTTTTAGCTTCTTTGATCGTGACTGCATCCTTTCAAGAGATATGTAGTATTGACAAGTCATTGGGTATCAATCTATGAGTGATTGATTGATGCATGTTTAACGTCTGGTGGCAAATATTTCATGGATATTCAAAATGCCAACAAATTAAGAATTAATACAATTGTTATTTGTATCATACTATAGGTAGATTTTGCAAGGAAAGTCAACCGGGATCAAAGGTCGGAATTTGGACATCCACTTGAAATGAGGACATGTTGAATAGATATTGGTACGTGGAAAAGTGCCAACTAAGACCCCCTTATAATTGATTCAAGGATTATTTAACGTGCAGAGAGTGTAGCAATCACCTCACACGAAGCATCGGAATTAACGTCCCCATCCCGACCAGACGTTGTTATGTATTTATACATCTCGCACACCCAAACGGACGCCTCACTTTAAGATAGGGCCTTAGGGTTTTTTTCTGCCGAACGGGAGAAGTCCAGGGAATACAATATTTCTATGTCCCATTCAACCTTTTGAGTGTTGATCAAATTAACAGGGATACCTTTTACAGCTATTTCCGCTAGTCTCTGCAAAGGAGGGTTATGTATCGTACTCCTTTGCTAGCGAAGATGGTTCACATAGTCGACAACATGTGGGCTTACAATACAGAATAATAAACCCAATGTCCTATTGAGCAATAATAAATCTAGTATTATTACATGAAAAGAAAAAATCAGTCTGTTTAAACAAAGAAGACTAAATTCAACTGTCAACGTAAGCAGTGGACTGGGTAATATTTTGCGTCATATGGAAATATTTATTTTTTCGTTGATATAATAAATTATATCAGCATCGAATAAACTAAAAATATCAGTTTGATAACAATAGTCAACAGACGCTATTTACTTAGGTGGTGAAATGAACTAAATTAAACTTTGTTGTATCTCCAAATTAAATCTATTTTGAGTCGGTTTCTACATTTTGTGAATTAATTGATATCGAATTTCGAAAATAAATTATATGAATGACAATTTCAATCAATATTTAGAAAAACGATCCATTTAATAGCATGATAAGCAAAAAATATATTTCAGTGTGGAAATTTGTTCTGACAAATCAAATTTCCAAAATAATTTATTTAATCACCACTTCCCGTTTATCTAAATATTTGTCAATTATTCAATCAACACGATCAACTCTTCTGGTAATTGAAAAAAAGATATCAAATTCACGTTTAAAGATAGTTAAAGATGTTAAGAAGTGTGCTCCATGATTGTACCGTATATTTTACTATATCTCGATCACTTCCGGATTATTGCAATAGGGAGGCTCTTCTAACCGAGAAGGCATTGTGACCGACATTTTGTAATAGACACGTTCTGATTGGAACTTTAAGTGACAATTAATGCAGATTTTAAATGACGAAACCATGGTTCTAGCTCCACGAGGCAAAGTTTATCTCGAACGAATCATGCTAGATGATACAATTATTTCACATGCATTCTATCTTTATAACCTCCAGCATACACGTAGGAAGATTTAAATAACGATTATTTAGATAAATGGGTAAAAAATGGCTACGTTTTGTTTGTATCTTCGCTGTTTATTTTGAAATGTCAGATTTATAGCGGTTTGGCCACACCCTTTTCAAATGCCCATTTTTATAAACGAAAAAACAACTCCTGAATGTAAATATGCTATAATATAATGATAAGATTTAAGAAATATTCCGAAATATATTGACTCGCTAGGCATCTCAATAAGTGGGAAACATTTACGAAGGAATATTCAAATGAGAAAATTTGAAGGAACAAAACCATTTTTTTGCCAAACTACGCAAAGCAAACGATAAAAGGGAAATAAACATGCTTTTATAATTGCAAATCCTTATTTGGGAATAATTTGAACTACAAAATATAGCGCTTAAAGAAGTATCGCTTTTGTTGTGTTTGTTGTACAATTTGGATTTAGCAATTTTAAACAATTGTCAAATGCTCGTAGGTTAGATGTACTGACTAACTATTTGTTTAATAAATCAAAATTAAGTTTAAAGATTGTTCATATACTGTACTCAATCTAGATAAGACAAGACAATTATAAAGGTTATTAAACAATAAAATGTTTTGTAGTTTTTCATTTATGTTTTGCTTATTTTAAAAGATTGTTGAACACGACGTATCGCTACACTGTAGCAACTCCCTCGGGCAAATTTGCTTTGGAGGAATTTGGCTTTTATCTTTAGAACATGCACTTGTAGTCATATAGCTCTTAAATTATTTCGGTACTTATACTATCTTGGTGGTTTTTGATTTTTTTTGTTTTTGTTTTTTTTTCGGCTTTATCCTGATGAAGGTAAATAAGAAGGCGATTCGGATCATAACATTTATAAAGTGTTTTTTTTTTTTTTATTGTAGCACTGGGACGATTGCACTGCTAGTGGACTATCGCGGAGGGTTATGTCTGTTCAGCAGTCGGTAGTGACATGATTTATTACATACATTGAGTTTCTTAAATCGTCCGTTCATTAGTTTAGAAATTATTAAGAAACTAAGGTTCCAAATTCCTCAGGCAAAGTTGACCTTCGATTATTTTGGCTATTATTTTTAGATCCCTTTGGTCATAAAACTCTTTTCGTGTTTCGGTACTTATACGTCCTTTGCTTTCAATTTAATTCTTTGACATAGATCGGTCTTGAAGAAGGTAAATCTATAAAAGCGCTTTCGACGCATAAATTAGATATAAAGTGTAATTTTCGTTTTTTTAGTACATGTAGCTGCTGCTGGACTATTAGCTCAGTAGTCAGTGCTTCGGTACAGACATGCTTTATAAAAACCTTTCCATAATGGTCCGTTCATCTAGAAATTATTAAAAAATAAGGTTCCAACTTCCTCGGCCAACGTTGACCTTATATGGATTCCGATATTTGTTTAGACACCTTTTGATCATGTTTCAGTACTTATATATCCTTGTCTTACAATTTTTGTATTGCTTTGAGAGTTCCGGATGAAGTTAAATCAAGAATAGCGTTTCAAACGGGTACAATTTAAAGTGTTATTTTATTTATTTTTTTTTTACAAATTTACTGGAAACTTATCCGTTAAATTCTGTAAAAAAATATATAATACAATTATATATAAGGAATTCAATATAGAATAGATACATAAATAAATACGTGATACTGTATTAATTTCCATTTCTCTCTCTCTCTCTCTCTCTCTCTCTCTCTCTCTCTCTCTCTCTCTCTCTCTCAATACATGTAGACAAGACCAGAAAATAAATAAAAATTTAAGTTGCATCGAATGTTATATATTAAAAGTAACTTAAATAATTTATGTCAATAAAAATTAGAAATCAGTCTTACCTAGTTCCTTTAAAAATTCATCAAAGTTTTCACTGCGATCTAATTTCCATTTTCCACAAATTTGAGCTTTTATTTCATCAAGTGCCATGTTTCAAAACCAAGAAAGCTTGATTGGAATCCGTCCTCCTTCCATTAAATATTCTCGGACAGATTTATATTAATCATTAGAAAAAAAAGTTGCATTAATCAGTTATGTCGATATCGGCAGTCAAAAGCTAATTCTTAATACAAACAGCATCTAAAGTTAGATTTCCGCTAATCAATGCAGAAATGCTATCGGCTAAGTACTCGATCATCAAAAGTTATTTACCAATAAATAGGCAACGAAATGTCAATTATTTAAACATTCACACCTACTGTTGAGTGATGTGTTTTGTGTCTGTTTCATTTAAGCATCAAATACTAATTAGGTTTTATATGCTGATGTAATTTTTATTAAGGTGTGAACAACGTTGAAGTGACTTTATGGTCCCAATGATTCCGGCTTCTGTCTGTTTGATTAGGTTTCCACATATATATACTAAAGTTTTCTTTATTTGATAATAAAGCAGATGGGATGTTGTTTTTTTTTATGGAAGCTAGAATTAGCGGTTAATACGGATGAAGCAATTAGAAGTTTTGTTCTTTATTTGGAAATCGGTCAAGCTAAAAGTAAATATAGTATACTATATAATTGTGGGTGATGGAAACACCAACATACTTTTAGAATAGTTAAGGCAAGTCATGAAAATTTACGATAAAAGAACAAGGAAATAAAAATGACCGACCAAAAAACAATAGGAAGAAATAATGCCTAAGAGATATTGACATGTCAGACTATATAACAATGAAACAATAATCCGATCTAAGTGAATTCCAATTAAAAAAATAATATACATATAAAAGGCCATTATTTGGTTCATCAAAATACTTAAAAATTTAAAAACCATTAAATATCGGTTTTGAAAAGGATGAACAAGTAGTCTTACATCCACTTCATATGGACTTTGGTGGATAGTGGTCTCATTGGCAATCATATCACATCTCCTTATTTTTATATCTTTCATTAATTGCTTTAACATAATCACGTTATGTTAAGATAATATAGTCAAAACATGCAAGCGTGTTCATGTACGTGTCTAAAATCTCTAACCTCGTCAATGGCTGTCTAAAGTTATATCTCAATGGGTTCGTCATTAAAAGCTTTTTGTGTACATGACAAACCTTAAATAGTCTCTGTTCAGTTAAGTTATACCTTTTCTGGACTAGTGTTAATATAGAGCTTTGCATATTGTGTAGACCCTTGGTTATTATTGAAGACCTTATGCTTTCCTTATAATGTTTTTTTTTTTTTTTTTTTTTTTTGCTATTGTTGCCATTTGGCCTGTCTCGTTAAAGTATACCCTACGCCACTTTTTAAAAATATTAAAAATGACTGATTGACCCCTGTATAAACTATGAGACCATAACGCATAGTATATAATATCTAAAGTATATTTTATTTAAAATGTTGAATTATTCGGAACACTAGGTTTTCTACCCTTGAGATAGACTGCCTTGGCCGTATTTGGCACAAGTTTTCCTAAACTGAACCCCTGTTGTGTTCACTTATCGCTACACTCGGAGCGGAGATTTAGATGGAATGGCGGACCAGTTTAAAGTTTTCCTTTCGGAATTTTCGGGTTTCAATGCTCTTTAACCTCGTGTTTGATTTCACTTTCCAACTGTTTTGATTCAAGCGCCTCTGTTGAGTCTAATGTAGATATGACGCGCGTCCGGCGTAGACAATTATAAGCATGGTATTTTTGAAGAATTTTTATTACGTAATAATATAATAAAATAGAATTATAATATTTTTGCTGTTCAGATAAATGTTTAATTCGCAAGACCATTGCACTAAACATTGTTTTTAATAGCCCTTATTCCCCCAAAAATAAATTTATTAAACTTGACATGTTTATATCTTTACCTGGTTTAATTTTCTTACAAAATCGTAAAAAAATCCGCAATTGTCTTGTGGCCTCCCCGGAAATATTTAGTGATCACTGTATGCGAGGTTCCTCGACCGGCTGCTTAATAAAGTGATTTGTACTTGATAATTTGATTCAAACCAGTAACACTTCTATATCCTACTTGATGCAATAATGCACATGTTTAGTCTATAGGTTACCTGGATCTTAGGACCATATGTCATCCGTTGGTGGAATATTTTTCAGATCACCGCTTTTTTCTAGTTTGTAAGATACATTCAGAAAATGACTTTGATGCCTCCATTGAGATACAGCAAAAAAATTTTGCCATCAAGGTTTAATTCAAATGCAAAATCTATTGATAGCGTGTTTAAGATCACGTGACTGCTTAGGATATTCATTATCAAATTGTTATCATATTTCATTTGAACTTTGAAATACTCAAGACGCCATAAAATGCAAAATGTCTACCACTAACTCAATTGAAATATGATGAACGCTACATTTTGTACATGCAAATTGTATTATACTCGGATTTTGCATTGCACTAGAACAATCGGAATATTTCAACTTATATGTTTTCCGCAGTCGATGCTATTGGAAATACCCACCACCTGCGACTCATATCATGTCTATAAATGATCTGCTCTCCACTGTTTAAAAACCTTTGGGAATTCACCACATTCGTACTAAACTTTTTTTATACCATTACTCTACCTCAATTCCGCAAATGATTTTTCAATAAAATTGCTGATAAGTACAGTTTGGTTGTAATTATTTTGGATATTGCAAATCACATGCTATTCTAACCAATGACAACTACACAATGTACCTTCATAAATGATCAGAAAGGTATTTTTTTTAAAGTCGAACTCGCTATAATGAGTTTGGATATTATCAATATAGCAAATAGTTTCCACCACAAGTGTGTACCGAAAATAATACCTGATAATCATAGAATTACATCTGTCATTTCGTATACATATATCAAACACATTCACAAAAAGGTATTTTATTTTCATCGTCCCTATACTAATGTAGTCCCGGCGACCAAGCACGTAGTAACCGGAGACCCTTTGCATTGTAAAAATAGGCAAAAATAGTTTACTGATGTTCAAAACTCATACATCGATTAAGAAGACAAATCAAGGTGACAAAACAAAAAATTGAGGGAATCGATTGAAATACAAATGGACGGTGAGACAGGATGCGTGTTCATCGTAAACAATGAACGAGTTGAGTTGTTAACCAAATGCATGAAATATTAAATTACACTCCCAACATTTAGAAAAAAAACTTTAGGTTATTAATGGATATTGTTGAGAACTTTTAAAAACATATTTAGGTGCGATCAAATTGAACCTAGGCTGGAGATTTTTTTATCAATATCAAACGAACAATATCTAGCAGACTAGTCTAGATTTTCAACTAAAATCTTTCTAAAAGACTACCATCATTTAAACAGCAGAAAATAGTCTTCGAAAATGTTTTGATGATGTATACTTAATAGCAGAAGTGGTTTCTATGAAATAGTAAAAATCTACTCCAAAACATTTATTACAATCATTTACAATTTTGCGGCAAAATTAAGAAATATGATTTTTCTACACTCTATGCTGCGGATTTTTCTACACTCTACTTGTCTTTTCGTCATGTTTAATTGAAAAATCAAATACATCTTGTCTGTTAACAGATCCATTTCAACAAAAAATGGAATCGTTCGTACAAAGTTCTTGTTTCAGGCTGCGAAAAGAGCTTTCTTGATGATGAACCACCCTGATTCTAAAAAAATATACACAGACAATGACATTATCACGTGTTTGACCTTTTATCGAAATTGAATATTTCGAGTTTGTTCGATAGATGTTTTAACAATCAAGCGGTATTCCAATAGGTGCTGATTACCCAAACCTTCTGGCAGACTTTTTGGCATTCATTTGAAGCAGAAGTCATATTACAATTCATCTACGACACGAAGAAAAAGCTCATTGCCTAGTTCTTTAGTTTCACATTTTTCTGTAAATTAACTGTTAATAAAATGTCGAAATACTCAAAACCCTTACATTTCTCTCCCCCTCCCCCATGTAGAGATTGCTATAGCTGTATTTAGCACATATTTTCGGAATGTTTGGTTATTCAACATTAATGCTCTTCAACTTTGTATTTGATTTGGCTTTTTAATGTTTTGATTTAAGCGCCACTGATAAGTTTTATGAAGACGAAAAGCGCATCTGATGTACCAACTTATAAATGATCTTTGATGAGTTTAAACCAAACGACACAACGGTCTCGTTCCTTTTGGATTTCATTTTATTCATTAAGCTTTTTTTTTGGATTTGCTGGCGTAAATTAAAAAAAGATTTACGACTTTTGTAATCGTCATTATAACAGCGGCTACTGCGGTTGCCTCTTGTTCCAATTCCTTTGTTAGTACCAGCAATTTACAAAAAAAAAAATTAACATTCTTAAAAAAAGTGTTTGGTCAAAATTTCTAAAATTTACCAATTTTTAGATTATCAAAACAGTAGCTCTGCGCGCGTTTTGTAGAGATGGGCAAATTTTTCTAATATCTATGATTCCAGATGGGATAGTAATGTTAATCAATTTTTATAAATATGCTGACGTATCGAAGCCTTATCTCAAAGTAATTTAAAATTTATTATTTTCAAAAGGTTGTGAACATTACTTTTTTTTAAAATATTCAATATTTACACAAAAATACACATACAATGATCATAGCTTATTACTTTAATCAAATTCGACATAACTGTTTTTTGGAGCGAAGGGGTGGTGCAAGTGGTACTGCTAAAGTACCTAGCAACATTTGTATACCACAACTTCCTAATTTTTGATTTCCATAAAATTTAGTGTAAGGGAAAATTTCATAAGTATCCATGCCGTTATATTGATAGCACATTTCAAGTTGGTATCGTAAAATATTTATTACATTCTACTTTTGAAGCAGTCTTAAAAAATAATTTATATTGGTACTTATTTGAAATTTCACACAGAAAAGACTGCTGACACGTGAAAATTTTTTTACTTTTGTTTAAAATGTAGTTTAATCCATTCCAAGTAGGAATAAAACGATTTAGTACAAATTTTCTGTCAATATCTATTAGCATTTTGCATAAATATTAATTTTATATTTTTGATACACAATAACAAATATGTTGAAGATCAATCAAAATGAAATGAAGAAGAGATATGGTTTATCAATTATTGACACAAAATTCGTACTCGAACTAGAGAAGATTTATTGATTGTAATATTAACGGTACCAATTTTATTGCACCAGATGCGCATTTTGACAATAGATGTCTCTGTTTTAATGCT